CCTTCTTTTACAAAACGCTTTCTTTTCGGACTCCAGTCGGTCTTTGTACAGGAGTCGGACTCCTCTTTTCGATGTAGCCCGAGAAAAAGACCTCAGAGCGAGCTAGGTTTTCAAGCTGAGGAAAAGCTGTACCCATCTGCCTTTAAATATTGGCCGAAGGACAAGACTTTGCCAGGAGAGGAAACATTTCACAAGTACCAAGAATTCAAAGAGCGATTTTCAAGGTTACTCAAGGTGCAACGGGCATGCGACGCTTGCATCATCATTTATCAGAATTCCAAAGAACGACAAGAATATTAAATCATTTTGTTATTTCCCGGTTGAAAATGAGAAACGATGATTTGGGCCGAAATCGATCAATTGCAGTGGTTGGTTCCTGGCATCGAGTGAAAAGACTTCATTTTGAGTACGATCGATTCATTAAATTTTCGTGGCGAAATCATCAGATGCAAATGCCTTGAGTTTGGTGTTGAAAAGATTCTAAGCGACCATGGAATACGAGTTTATGATGAATTACTACTCCTTCGTGATGAAGTCATTATTATTTGGAGATGTATTAAATGATATGAAAAGAGCAGTGAATCCATATTGCAATGGCGGCTCGTGGTATTCAGCAGTAGTGGATCGTCAATGGAAGCAGGGTAGGCCCGGGCCTATCCTACCTCCATTAAGAATACACTACCGCTGAATATCACGAGCCGTCCATGCCATATTGGCTCCACAAGCACATGTTTCCCTGTCCTCGTGGGAAATGCCTTACTATTTAATTGTATTGAAAGATTCGGAGCAATAATGTTTTCGTCAACGAAAATTAAGACGGAAAAGCCCTTGAAATTTTTTAAATATAAATATACGTCAGGTAGACGAAAATGAAAATTCTGCATCTTTCATGGACAAAAAGTGGACGAGAACGATAAATAAATAGGTCCAGAAAGAATATTCCTTTTCGTCGTATTTTTGTCCCACCCTGCCAAAACATGTGCAGACATTTAGCCACGTGAGGGAATGATCGTTGTTCGCATGTGTGATTCTTGCAACTGACACGCATTCGTGCGAAATTCGACAAGATGCATCTTGTGCGCAGCAGCCGACAGCGGGAGCATGAGACATAAAAAGCACCAGACAAAGCACGAATCGAAGGGCAGGAGCCGTTGATAACAGTGGGATTCTTCCATCGCAATACTGGGGATTGATAAGAGTACTGTGACATTTGCGCTCTCATTAACGAGAGGAAGCACGGTATCATCAGGGAAAGATATCCATTTGAAGCTTGAAATCCCAACCGATGAAAAAGAGAACATCCTAACCCTTTCCACGCCAAAACTTCTTGTTGTGCGCGAGTTCGCTGCTGCCATTACCATTTCCTACGCAGCAGATTTTACATACACGCTCGGTAAAATGCTTACATTTCTGGAACTAGTAAATATAATTGTATGCAGTTTTTTTCCACTTAACAAGAAATTAATTCCTCTTCCAACTATGTACAAAGTATCCCAGGTCTAAAAAAAGATCATGACGGAGATTGCAGTCCATGGGGCGGAGAATAATGATTATAGATATTACTATCTCATGAGGATCACTGGTAACTTAAAAGCATCAGGAGATAGTAAGAACCAAACTCTTCTTTTTCTTGCTTCCTGTTATAAATTGTGAAAAAAAACTCCCAAAAGTTTGGTTAGCTAACTCAACCTGCTCTGTGTTCACTGCACTGGTTCAAAATAAAAAACACACGAATTAACTATTGAATTACTATGATCACGTGTGGTTTCTACTCGGCCCGTATAGTCGTTGAGTGGATCTTCTTCACCCTCTTAATCGAATCTGACACCTGTCCAGCGAGGTTCCATGGCTTTCAAGAGTAACCTTCTTCCGTAATCCTTTAATGCCTCCTGTAGTTCGGGTACTATAGACGCACTTTTAAAAATTCCGTAACCGAATACCGAAAAAATTTAATTACGAAATTCCCATTGTGCCTGTACACAAGAACTACACAAACAGTGCAAGAAAAAATAAAAGGGTCTTGCAACATTCCCTCTCTCCTTCAAAGATGGCTACGTGCAGGTGAAACCACGTTTTCAAATTTGTCTTAGTCCCAATTTGAAACCCTCCTACCAGTCTTGGTTCATACTTTTTAAAGCCTTTTATGATACGCTTGATTTCGTAATTGTATATCACAGTTGGTTTTTTTTTTTGCCACATCCTAGAACATTATGATTGTGGGAATCCTGAAAATCAAAAGTAGCTCACCAGCTACAATGGACGGGAACCGTGTTTGGGGGTCCCTGTCTGAGACTGTGGTATCGGTTGTGATCCCTGCCAAGCAGACACCTTTCCATCGGTGGACTGCATTTAAAAAACCACCGTTTTTTAAATATCCACCTCATGTCCCCTGTTTAATAATAAAAATAATCACCTCTGCGCTTCACGCTTTCATGGGGTCTATGCGCCTTGCCAGTGCCCAATCCCATCTCTTCCTTGCAGCAGATGTACGTTCAACCCTCGATATAGCGTCACTGTCGGTCATCGCCGATTTTGGCGCTTTAACGAGATGGCGACATATCGAATTATATATATCCCGTATTACATAGGTCTATGGGGATATACGTCCACAAGAAAAGGTCGGCGATAAGCGAGGGTGGCGTTATATCAGTGGCGGTATAACGAGAGTCGACTGTACGTCCTTCGTACGAACTCAAAAGTCGTTTGAAGCGTGTTTATAGCCGGATTGTGCAGAGAGAGTCAGGACAGGAGATGGAGGTCACTTCCTGACTCATTTGCAAATGTATCACGGCCCACTAAGCGATTTCCTATGGGGCACACTAGCGGTCATATGAGACAGGAGGTCAGGAAACTTAGTGTATTCTACGAAGCATTCTAAGAGGGAGGAAAATGACTCTTTCACCAAAAGTATTATGGGCAGTGGCGGCTCGTGATATTTAGCGCTAGTGATTCGTCTATGGAGAGGGGGTAGGCAGGGGAGGGCGCTGCCTACCCCCTCTCCATAGACGAACCACTAGCGCTAAATATCACGAGCCGCCACTGATTATGGGACTCCCGTAGTTATGCACCAGTCCTATAGGAACTATTGAATTAGTTACTAATAGATCCTATAGATCCTGTAGAACAATGGTACTCAACCTTTTCAGCTAACTGCACCAGATTACCAGCCCAAGGCAGGTAAAATTTCAGTAGTGGCATGACTTTTTTCATTGAAAATAAGGCGCTTTGTGTTGAAAATAAGTCCAGAAAGCCTAATCCCGTGATTGGCGCCAATCATGCTACTTCCTAAGGTGCCTAGTATTGCTTTAGAAAAATGCCATGAGTGACCATGCGAATCCCCTCCATTGTTTTCAACAGTACCACAAAAACCTTGGCTCGGTTCTTTCGCGCCTAATATCTCTCTCAGAATGAGTCGGAATGGATTGATTTTTTTAAAGGGAATTTTACGAGCTAAAATGTCATTGAACTCCAAAGATACAAATCCACAATCTACGAGCACTTCGGGAAAAGAAAACACCACACGCTGGAAGCAAGCGATCACCTCAATGAAATTGAAAAATAGTGATAATTTTTCCGATCGACACGCATGAGATTTCCTTATTTGGGAATCTCTTTCTTTTCTGCGTTTTACATGCTGTTGTCCAATCGGATGTCACTGGAATGTCGCCGTCCCTTATCATACCAACAGCTTAAAAGTTGAAACATTCCATTTATGATAGGGATAAAGGTTTTTAACCATGTTCTCATGGTAGAATGACCCATGTGTTTTCTGCGTACGATGCTTCTCCTAATCTCCTGTTTCGTGTGTCACATTACTTTGCCTTGGTCTATTATGCCCGAACGTTCAAAGACGATTCGTTATTGGACTGGATTTCGCTCAACTTGTTTCCGTTTAATTCAAGATTCAATATTCAAGATAGTTAGTGATATCAAGAGGCCATTTCACCCATTTCGATATCACGTGTCGAGGTGGTTTTAGGGTAGGCTAAAAATTTTGGGGGGGGGATTTTTTTTTTTGCGTATCCTAGTTGCTTACTGACTAGTACCTAACGTCAACATTGCCCCCCACCTTTATGCCTGTCCATGAAAGCATCCAGTTTCTTCTTAAAGATAGTCACAGAAAGGGCAGCCACTACTTCATCATCTAACGCAGGGGTGTCAAACATACGGCCCTTCCTTTAATTATCTTGAAAGCCTGGATGAGAAAGCCACTCCTTAACCTTCGCTCGAGCGAGTACAGTCCCAACACTTCTAAACGCTTCTTGTATGAAAGTCCCCTGACCTTCTTAATCATTGTTGTTGCCCTCTCCTGTACTCCCTCGAGCGCCAACAAATCGCCCTTATTTGTAGACCTCCAAAACTGGATGCAATATTCTCACTGGATGCAATAATTCTCTTCCCTAGTTCAAAATCTGTGCTCGGGAAATCCAGTTTACGTGGTACAAAACGCTGTAGAGTCTCTGTGCGATACATAAGGCGTTCTGAAGTTCAAAACGAGATCTAAGCGGATTTAAGGGAAACGGGCTCCTTTGTCCATGTATCGAATCCGGATGTAGCATAAGGGAAAAAGAAATATACTGAGTATCCTGGTCGAGATAACACGGCTATTTTCAACTTCCGTCTGAATCCGTGTTGAGATGTGGCTGACGGATGGGACAACATGTGTTCAATGCCACGTGGATTCCCTCACGGGAATTGCGAAACTGGTGGCAATGGCATTGATACAGAGAGCGAATTTAAATCGGCAGGAGCAAAAATGTAACGACTCAGGTCAGAAAACCACGTATCGAATCGTATGCCGACGAATCTGGGCATATTCTCTTCAAGAAAGTAGGCTACTGAATTAATATCCTTCATTGCATAAAGTTCGCATCTGACCAGAGGGCATTGCGCAACCCTGAAGCGCAAAAGTTAACAGCTGCTGAGGATCCCAAGGGAAGACAACCCGGTGTCACGGAAAACCGTTATATATAGCAGGATGGATTTCAGAATCTCCATCAGTTCCTCACTACTCTGTCAAACACCTCCTTCTCACTCAGGTTCGACCATTTTTCCTACTATTTTCCATGAGAATTTTCTTATCAAATCTACGGATTAGAACTAGAAAATGAAATATAAATCAACCGAAGCTGAAGTCTCTACTTAACAATTATTCAATCCCTACTCATGCCTGATCTAAAACACGTGTGCTGACAGAATTTTAAGAACTTGTGTAAACCTTTTAGTGTGGTGAGTAGTTGTTAGGATAGCTGACATTGATCATTGGTTGTCTTCTCTCTTAATGACTGTCCTTCGCAGGCCTGGGAGGCCTGCAATCTCAAATTTGAATATTGGAAATATCACAGCCAGGTGTCTGGAAAAGAAACCATGTCGCTTGTGAGGAATTTTTCTCATATTTCTTAGAGCCAGGAATAGAAATAAAGTTTTCAGAGAATAGTTAAACGTTAGGTTAAGTGACCGTTAGGGTTCCAGATCTCAATTGATCCGAGCTCTTTGCTGATGTAATGTTTCCATGGGAAAGGATGTTGCGCAGGAGATGAGACTCGTGGAAGGTCATAAGGAATACTAAAGGTACAGATATAGCTGATGCCATGAATGTAATACATAATACAATGTAGAAAAGGTAAAACCTCGTGGATAAAATTCCCTAACAGATAGCGGCACGATGCTTCCGTTTATTTTTTTCTTGAATGCACTCAGAAATTTCATTTGTACTCTTCGATCGATCGATAAGCATACACAACAAAAACTTTTTGGATATGACTTTGTCTCCGAAAGGATCATAGCCCAATAATGCATGAATTTGAATGTTAAAATTCTCTAAGGTTCACGGCAGCCACGACGGAAAGCACTGCCTTACGCCATCCTCAAACTGCGCGTCTGAATGACAAAAGCTAATGATTTTTGCCTGGAAGAGTTGCCGAGAACAAACATGGTCAATAGAGACTGTTTCGACATGAAAGCAGGCGTGCTGCTTTACCTCTACATTATGCAGCGTTGATTACAGTTTATCGACTGTGTTTGGGCGAGCAGAGTGAAGGATGAAGACGGTGGCAGTGCTGGTGTTCCTTAGCTTCGGGGGTTTGGCTTCGGCTTCCCTCTTCCCCAAGTTCATCAAACCCCGACCGAGAGATCCAACCCAGTGCAATGGAGCTGACTTGAATGAGATCGTGAACCAATTCACGACCGAGATCATCCCATTCGAGGAACTCAAGCGGCTGACCCTGGAGTGGTTCGATACGGACCCCGAAATGAGGAAACTCTATGCCTGGGTCTCCAGCATGGAAGTGAAGGAAGGTGTCTATGATGCCCTCCACGCCTTCCCGCCTTTCGTGGTAAGAAAGACCTGATTGATTCTTTACCTCGATAAGTATACCTTCTCTCTTGACGCAATCGAATGACCAAATTGATGAGTGCCTTACCCCAATCGGACTGAATGTCATGGTTTCAAGATTCTTCTGACTCGTGATACTACTTTACTAACACTGAATTCGACTGAGCCAACCTCAATGGAATCATCTGCCCCCACTCGATCAGGATGACTTGGTACCGTTATTCGTCTGCAGGCCGGAGTTAAAGTTTGGGGTGGCTAAGTGCCACCCCGACCTTCGACTTGACCTTGACATTGACCTCGATCTTCAGCATGACTGTGATTATCTCTCCAGATATTCCTGGATATCCTCCGTGACGGGAACATAGACATAGATGCGTTCGACCAGGAACTGTTCGACATTCTGGGTTGGAGTGAGGTCCAGAGGCAAATGTTCGATTATCCCGATTTCAACTACATCAATGACCTTTACAACGGGACCGTGGAGGTGGACTCAGATATCATCCTTACGTGGCTCCTTATGTGCATCCAGTTTAATACTCCCTTCAGGGAGCTCTTCGTCTACATACAGAGCGATGCTTTCTACGAGATCGTCAGATTCATTTGGTTCAACGTGATCATCGATGACGTGAGTCCCAACATCTTTGACGTCTTACAATGTTCCTATTTATCAACGTCAGCCATCTATCGCATTTTTTCGATCATCGCAGCTCATCAAAGAACTGGAGAACCAAGGATTTGACGTGGAAGGCGACTTGGGTCTCGTCGCCGGGTTCCTGGGCTGGCCTTGGCCACCAACGTCAATTAGATCATAAAATGGGCTACTTTTGGAAATAAAGTCATGTCACGTTTATAGACCGACGCCATCTGGTTGTTTTGGAAACATGCCGAGTGATACCATTCGTACAAACGTGCAAAAATGCAATACATGAAGAAGACGTGATTTAAGCTAAAGTCAGTTTAATGCAATCCACCTGTGGTAATTAGCTGTGCGATACTACCAGGTGCTGGAGGCTTTGAGCATAGTGAGTCCATAAATGCGTTCCAATTAATCATCTTCCCCACAAAACCCTTCCCCTATGTGATTTTAAATGACTCCAAGTAACTTCCAACCACTATGGATGCCACCTTTGAATTTAACCAAATGTGGATACATTGACTGCTGACTCTGGAGGTACGGAACTATGGACAAATATTCGAAGTATACTTGTGTAGGTATCTATGCTGCAAATACCCTCAGCCACCTTAAAATAAGGCGCCTATTCGATACGATGAGAGTATGGTCTACTCCCTTTGACGAACGGAAAGAGTGGTTTTAGCTGCTTTTCAGCATTATAAACTGAAAAAATCCCTCAAATTTTAAAATATAAACAAAATAGTCTCCATATTCAGACAATTTTGCAGTATGGACATAACATCTGAAATATGTACTTTTCATACTAATTATAAACGGATGGCAATTCTATCAACCACCTTGCAACCCCGGATCGCCTGGGAGACTCGATTGGATTCTCATGATTACTTCTGTCATACACTATCCTGATTCCGTCATTGCTACCGGAGTTTTATTGAAGGCCTCACATCAAGAGACGAGTGTCTAATTCTCACCCTTTCCAAATACGTCGCGGTTTGCGTGCAGCAAAAATACCATCTCTTGAGACCTTGTTACAGTACGGTTCTGTACAAAAAAACATGAACCGCTTTTGCGGTGTCGCAATTTTTGTTTAAATAAAGAGTCTACTTTCCTCTTATCAGGCGCGATGATGCCTGCCATGAATGCTTTTGAGCATAAGAAACTCATCGTGGTCTGCTCTCATCCTGTTGAGAATGTCCGAAACATCTCAACTATTCCTAAGAACCATATATGTTTGCGGTAGATCTGTCCTCGATCGCATCATAACTGAGAGGACAGAATTCGAGAAGAAATTCTTCATCTTCAGTCTGCAATTGATTAGTAAGCAATTAATTAATATCCACAATTTGGTGGATTGCACGATTTCCGACTTCTGTTTCACAATGTGTATATCGTATGACCTACTTTCTTTTTGAGAAGGTACGTTTTCCACGTTTGTGGACTCGATATCAAGGAATACGATGCAAGTTGTATACATTGCGCTAGGATATAGAAACCTTTTGAATATTGCCACATGGAGTGACGTAAAAGCCTCTGATACGTCTGCCTTGAATGACATGTGCATCATGAAGGTTCAATTTGTAAGATTTATGCAATTAATTTCTTTGTAAACTTAATACATTTTACATTTACTCACGTATCTCGAATGCCTTCATTCTCCCATATCTGTATTTGTCACTGAGTGACGAATTTTTCCGACGAATTTTTGAGCTCAATTTCGTGCAGCGTGTGACATTTGCATTTAATTGTTACTTTATTCTGAGGAAGATCATGAAGTCAATTTATTTGGAATAGTGTCGTTAGGGGTCGTTAGGGGGTCGTTAGACAGCAGGACATCCGTGCTGGTGATAACTTCGATGAGATGTTCTGCCTTTCCCTCATCGAGGTTAATCCCAGCATTTCCATCACCTTCCATGCATCTTCTCCATCCGGATCTGGAGATGACGGAACTCTGCCAGATGATTAACCGGCGTACTTGCGGGATATTTCCAACGCAAGGAAGACATTCCATCGGAAAATACATGAAGTTTGTTTAGCTACAGAAAAAGACCGCAGCTGTTGGCTCGAGAAAGTGAGAGGAACAAAATATTGGCCCTTCATGCAACGATTGCGACTCTCGCAAAAAAACTTGTCCTCCATGTGACGCGTTTTTATCGCATCCACAATTTGATGCGATAACCGCATCCGAAATTCGATGCGATAAAGACGCATCACATAGAGGACAGATTTTTTCGCGAGAAATGAGGCTGAGGGACTGAATTTTCTGTGTGCATGGTTCCTTGAGTAACTGCCAGATGGCTAACCAGCTCCTAATTTTTAAATTCAGATTTTGACCTATAGCTCTTGACATTGAGCACCGATTGGGTCGATCCCATAGGCATTTTCGTTTTACTAGTCGAGACCTATCTAATGCTGTAAGTGAATGCGATCGAACGATTCCATCTTCCATTAAGTTCTTCGCAAAAGTAAGGAAACGGTAGGCAGATATATATCACAGCTCAACTTTCAACGGCTTGACTGTTAGAGAGCTGACAGACACCCAGAAAGGCGGACAGAAGCGAAGAAATCGTTTTCGAAGTCGAAAACCACGTACATTTTCAACGTCCAACAAATTTGAAACGGCACAAAGTAGGGAAATAGTACAGAACAGATCATCACAACTCGCTCTCGAGAATCTTAAATACAAGGTTTCCAGAAGAAAATGGGAGGGATTCAATACACGTTACATTCTAGCTGAGACTTCCTGGAGTTGTCCTAGGGACAATCCAGTATCCATTGGGATTTTGATACAGGGACGACAGAGATTCACTAGTTCGATTCCAAAATGACCGTTCTCAGAGTATCCCCCCAAAAAAATCGTAATGGCAAGAAAGCCCAACCTGTTTCCCCCCGATACAAATATATGGTCAGGTGGAACACGTATGGCATATCCTGATGGTAATATCTCGTGGTCGTTTGCATGCTCACTCGGAAAAGTGATTCGTCTCTCGAAATCGTGGAAACATAAGGAAGGCTACAATCGTTCCTTTGAATTTAATCCTACTTAGAATTCCAAGATAGAATTCTACTTATAATTAGATCAGTAAAAAATTATTGTCATTAATATTACGAACAACAGAATTTATCTGTAAGTTAGCAGTTCGCTTCTTTTTTCTTTAAGGCGATCTATTGATGCGCCACGACAAAGAAAAATGTATTAATAAATTGACTCACGCTGAAGGGAGAGAAGAGAGTTTTAAATGATGGACATGGATGGGAATCCGTGGCGATCTCTCCAGACCTTCCTCCCAGAATGACAGTCTCTTCCTCAACTCCCGTTCATAAAACGCCACTATTGACACGTTTCATGGCTCGGGAAGCTCAAGGGGAAAAAAAAGAGAGAGAGAAAACACTTCCTCGTCTCTGGATCCTCTCGTATGAGTGCTTTCGCTGTCGGCCTTCGTGCATGCACATACACAAATGGGATTCAATGTTCCGAGTCACCCGATAAATTTAACGACCACGAACTCCGTGTCACCACTTCTCTGCTTTACTTCTCGTCGATTTCTCCTATCCGTCTATAGTAGGAGGAGCGAACTATCGAAGAGCTCACACACAGCTGGGCTACCATTAGGCAACGTTGCCACCTTCGAATTCATCAAAATATGGACAAATATTCGAAATGCACCCACGAAATGCAGCCAAGGCACCAGGCACCAATCGATAGTATCAGTGGCCAACTGCTTTTGACTTACGGAAAATAACGATATTAGCTGCTATTAAGCTTTATTGCGTAAAAAATTATTAAAAAGTTTAAAATATTGACAAAACAGTGTCCATATTAGGACCAGTGTGAAGTATGGACATTGCTTCTAAAATATGTACTGTACATAAATCCAGGACAAAATGGCCCCTGACAAAAGAAGAGGGCCCTGGACATTTTGGTCCCGGATAATATGGTCCTGGGACAAAATGGCCCCCGGACATTTTGGTCCCAAATGAGAAATAGGACAAATTGGTCCCTATGGTAAAAATGTACGATGACAACTCATCAAGAGTTAACGATAATTTTGATAATTGCGTCATCTATTCATGACTACCTTCTAAAATTAAGTTCTTTATAATCTTGAAGCTTGGAAGCATTGGGGGCTATGATTCAAGATGTTCATTTTCATCGTATATCTCGTATATTTCATCGTATGCTATAGTAGTACTTCACTACCTTCTCGATCGCCTTCCCCTATCTCGCTCATCCTCCCCTCCCTATTCCTATTTCCTAGACCTCCCTATTCTAAGAAATATATATTCTCTCACTTGCCTCTTTTCTTGTCCTCTACGTTCCTTGACTTAATACTCACCCCCCCCCCCCCCCCCCCCCCCCCCCCCCCCCCCCCTCCATCCACCCCCCTTCGCCCATCTCCGCTCACCCTTTCCTCTCCCTCCGCCTGCCAATCTGGCTTAGGCTATCATATACTCATCGCCAAAAAAAAGTCACACCAAGAAGGAGTTGAGCGATTTTGATGAAATTTGGTAAACATACTCGTATTAGTGTGTCATGAAATTGATGCAATTGTTTCAAGGTCGTAGGTTGAATATTCACAGAGAAAACTTGCCAAACATCCCAATTTAAATGGGGTCGGAGGGGTCGTACTTATCGCCCACAACGAACATCTAGGAGTTTATTAATGAAATGCGATAAAGGGACTTCTACTGACTTTTTGTACAATGAAGCAAACTTTCAAAGTCATAGGATGAAGCGATGGAGGGAAAACTTGCCGAGCTAGCCGAACGCCCCAAAGGATGGGGAATAGGGCGACTGCACTAATCAGGCCAGTTTCCTTTTCTGCTTTCCTCCATTCACTCTGCTTTGCTTCAATCGTTTTTCTTTCGTCTTTAAAGCCATGCAAGGATGACGTTCACAAAGGCAGTTTCGCCAACTTGACCAGTTCCATCGATGTGGGCGATAAGTACGACCCCTCCGACCCCATTTAAATTGGGATGTTTGGCACGTTTTCTCTACGAATATTCAACCTACGACCTTGAAACTAGCATCAATTTCATGACACACTAATACGACTATGTTTGCCAAATTTCATCAAGATCGCTCAACTCCTTCTTGGTGTAACTTTTTTTTGGCGATGAGTATATCATTTAAAAATTTTCTATATCCTCTCTACGTTCTGACTCGATGGTTGATTTCAGCTTTTGTGTTCAGTCGTAATCCAGTTGAGGTTGTACTGGATTACGACACTT